GTCGGTTTTTCAACGAATCATCAAAGGAAAGTGTACGAATCTACGAATTGACGCATCTACGCATCAACATTGTTTGATGCCGGGTGCGTGATTTGTTAGCATTGGTCTAGAATCCATTCCGTGCATCGCATTCGAATCAAATCGTCGCATCGATTATGATGCATTAAGTATACACATGCAACACGCACTGCACCGACAAAACTAATCGACGAATCGCATTCATTCTTTTTGTCCATCCTGTGGATGTTAAATTTCAAAATTTGGTCTCATTGCTGAGATCCCAAACTCCTATCTGTACGCGTAGAATTTCGTCAGATATAGCTTTTATTTACAATGCTGTTAGTTTTAGAAAAAATACGCAGAAAATGAATTTTTAAAGAAAGTGCGGTAAATCTGTTTCAATTTTGGTAATAAAGCTCGAACAAGAAGGTTGGCATCCCTTACCATGTGAAATCAAGGTTGGTATTCGAAAAGTTACCGTCGATATAATACAGAAATGTCGTTTTGTTACGCGTTGTTTATAGTTATTTCTCCGGTCATTGAAAACGTAAAACTGAAATAAATACCGATCAGATTTTTTTTAAACGTTATATTTTTATGGTTTGAGGTGTAAGACAACTTTGTTTGGTGGTTTGATGTGATAAAAACAATAACTTAAATGTTATTTTAAATCTACTTTTATACCATACATCTGAATTCACCCAGTGAAATCAGGTAATAAGCGTCTTTTATTTACTTTATGCCAGTAAAGCATTTCTTGGTAACAAAATATGCGTAGTTGCATTATTTTGGCTTTCCGCAATTTAGGTTAGAATTATTCAAATCTAATGCTCTGATTTTGTGATGCAGACACCCATCATGTCTGAAATTACGTATCCACCTGGGTGCCGACCGATAAGTGACGACTTGGGGGCCGATGAGTTGATTAGGCGGCTTAAGACATTGGCTCACACGTTACAAGCGATGGGACAAGATGAGGGAGCTTATCAACAGTACATTCCTTTGGCAATACATTTGGCTGACGATCAATTTTTAAATCATCCGTCTCGTGATGTTCAACTACTAATTGCATGCTGCATCGCCGATGTATTAAGAGTGTATGCTCCGGAAGCACCTTACAAGGATTCGGATCAAGTGAAAACCATTTTCCTATTTCTCATAACTCAGCTTTCCGGTTTAAAAGATCCAAAAGACGCAGCTTTCAAGAGGTACTTTTACTTGTTAGAAAATTTGGCGTATGTTAAATCGTTTAATATGTGTTTCGAGTTGGAAGACTGTCAAGAAATATTTTGCGCTCTATTTCATCTTATGTTTAAAATTGTGAACGACGAGCATTCCGGTCGTGTTAAGAGCTTTATGCTGGATGTGTTATCGCCTCTTATTACTGAAAGTGATATGGTCAGTAATGAACTTTTAGACATCGTTTTGATGAACGTGGTGGAACCTAATAAGACACAACGCAAAAATGCTTATTTGCTGGCGAAGGAATTAATAATTAAAACTTCGGATACTTTAGAACCTTATATACAATCGTTTTTTAATCATGTTTTGATATTAGGCAAGGATGTAAAAAATATTCAAATTTGTGGGAAGGTTTACGATTTAATCTACGAGCTGAATCACATCTGCCCACAAGTTTTAGAAGCCGTACTACCTCAACTGGAGTGTAAATTAAAAAGTGCATCGGAAAGTGAAAGATTAGGAGCGGTCGCGTTGTTAGCAAGAATGTTCAGTGAAAAAGACTCGCAGCTCGCAAAACAGCACACGACACTATGGTGCGCATTTCTTGGACGTTTCAATGATATATCCGTGGCGATTAGAACGAAATGCGTTCAGTATTCCATGCATTTTCTACTCAATCATCCCGACTTGCGTAAAGATATAACTGACACATTAAAGTTACGTCAGCACGATGGCGATGAAAATGTAAGATACGAAGTGGTTATGGCTATAGTTACAACGGCCCGTCGAGATTTTCAAGTCGTATCGGATTCGGAAGACTTATTAGAGTTTGTGAAGGAGCGTACGTTAGATAAGAAGTTTAAAATACGTAAGGAAGCGATGTCCGGTCTCGCGATGATCTACCGTAAGCATCTGAATGATCCGGATGTGCCAAATGCAACTAAGAAGGCTGTCACTTGGATTAAAGATAAAATTTTACACGGTTATTATATGGCCGGTATGGAGGATCGGCTGTTGGTCGAAAGACTTTTAAACACTTGTTTGGTTCCGTATCAGTTGAGCACTTCGGAGCGCATGCGAAAGCTCTACCATCTTTTGGGAACGGTAGACGAACACGCGACTAAGGCCTTCATGGAGTTGCAACGAAATCAATTGTGTGTACGTAAACTTGTACTGGAATGGCTAGAATTACATCATCGATCTGTATCGGCGGACATACAAAAAGAATTGGCGATTAAGGTTCAGGCATTGTCCAGGTGCCTTCCGGAGCCGGTAAAAGCTCACGAGTTCCTAACAAAATTTAGTGGTCACCTAAGAAGAGATTCGGCTTTATTAGAAAGCATGGAAATGGTGGCGAGACCGTCTGTTAGTTGTCAAGAATGTTCTGACGCCACCGCAGTTGTTTTAAAGAAACTAGGCCAGCCTGTCATGACAAATTTGTATTATAACACTGTCAAAATGTTGCTGGAAAGAGTGAGCTCGGTGATGGTAGATCATGAAGCTATACACATATTAATTGGGTACGTAGAAGACTGTTTACGTGGTGGTAATACTTTGGAAGAAGTCGGTTTACATCCGGCCACTGCTGGTGATCGTGGTCTTAAGCTGCTAGTTATGCTGAGTTGTGTATTTCCCTCCCATTTTCATCATGCGGATGTCATCGAGCAACTGTTGGAATTATTACATTTGGAGGACGAAAACATTGCACCTTTAGTACTGTCCGTTTTTACATTTCTGGGAAAGTACAAATGTTTATGTAAGTATAACTACTAAGAACTCTCCCATATTTTACTGTACTACTCTGGGATCAGGAATTTTATATTCTACTCATATTTTATTAATGTTGATCAGCAGGTAATTAGTCCCATATTTATAATCAACAGATCTTTTGACACAAATGTCTAGAGATTTTAAGAAGAAATAGAATTTTGTTTTAAGACATTTTAGTGAAATTAAAAAAAAAATGCATACTTATTATTTGTCTGTCTGAGGTGTGTTATACTATTTGCACCAACAATAGTTCTAGAGTTCTAGATAAGTACGTTTTAAAAAAGGCCAGAAAGTTGATCCTCAAAAATTATGATCATAAGTAGTGTTACAAAATTTAAATGTTCAAAAATCAGAACACTATCATAATATATTATTATTTTTTGTATAGGCAGAATTAAAATTTTACAGTTCCAATTTCGTATCGCAACCCCTTCCCACTTCTATAATAGTTGTACAGTACTAGATGGGTTTTAGAAAAAGGTTTGTTTAATTTACTTACTTCAAATAACCACAGTCCAGAACACTCATTTTCTTGTTGAGTAGGGCGAGATCTCGCAAATTTACATTCAGAAATTATGATAATAAAAGATGAACCGAACCTTAAATTTTCAAAAGTTAGAATTTGTTATTGAAATTCTATGTGCACTCTCTCTAGTTCTACATACACTGTGTGGCAACATATGGAAATCTTTATTAGTTTTACGAAAAAAAGTTATTCTTTATAAACAGTCCTGCTTGTCCGAAAACTCTTCTTTAAAATGCGAGGTTGAATAAATTGTTTAAAAAATCTGTCTTGCAATATCAAATATTTGCACAAGTACAAAATTGAGAGATAAAATCAAATAAGCACAGTTTCAAGAAAGGTTTTGTTTTCAATTTATTTGAAAACCTAGCATTTTAAAGCAAAAATAAATGTTGTAATTAGAGTTTTGGAACAAGCAATAATTTTTTGTGTGAAATGTGCCAAATTCTTGACAGAACAGCTTCCCAGCACAAATGGTTCAAAGTTGGCTCTAAAGACCATTTATGTTTAGTTTTAAACTATACCCTCGGCTATACCTTTATTTTACAGGGTGTAGCACCCAAGATCCCTCGGATCATAACTCCTTTACCACAAAAGATACAGAAAAAAATCTTAGAGCAAAATTGTACACAATTACCGCCGGCATGTTTCTAAAATATTTTTGATCACCAGGGGCGTGCTGTAGGCGTATCAAACTTGCATTTTTTTTAATGGAACACCCCATATTTTATTACTGATTTGGAATGTACTTCAAAAGTACTTACTTTTTTATGTAACATGTTGTACCCCTAACGGTTTCGCGGTTATAACCTTTTTTCGTCAAAATTTGACAGTTTTTCGAATTTTTTTTTAGAGAAACTAAATCGCGAAGGCGGCTAATTTTTGAACTGACGCACAGGTTAAGACGTCTTCTACAATCAGATAATTTCTTTTAGGTACTTTATCGGAAAAATAACATTTTTGATTGACCTTCGCTAAATGTCATATTTTTTAAAAATTTCAAATGGCACCCCCCTAAACAAATTATACCTCTGGGTAACCAAAACTACAAATTGTCCACTGATATAAACAAAACCGCACATTCCATAAGAACATTTCAGAGAAAAACGAAGTCCAAACGCCAATTTGTAAAAAAAACGTTTTTTTCCGAACCCAAGTGTGCCATGATAAAACAAAAGATGTTCAATTCTCACAATTAACAGTACAGTGTCGGCAGTGTATGATTGTTTTTTAATCAGCGTTTCGAAAATGTTCCAAACTCAAGCAGAACTGGTTGATAAGGTGTTTATTCTTGGAGACTGTCACCTGAATTTTTTGTTGATGTCACAAGAGTACCCTGGGAGATATCCTGGCAGAACACATCCAGCTCCACACGAGTTTCAAAAGGTGTTGGATAAATTTACAACTACTGGGAGTACTAATTTCACGCACACTAATACGACGATTGTCAACAGTTGCCCAATTAATGATCTTCCGCCAAAACCGGCGCCCGTTTAACTCTCCTTGATCGTTTTACACTCCCAGTAGCTATAAATCTATCCAACACCTTTTGAAACGCGTGTGGATCTGAATGTGTGCTGCCAGGATATCTCCTACTATACACTCGTGACGCAAGCAAACAATTCCGGTATCGGTCTCTAAGAATAAACACTATATCAACCATTCCTGCTTGAGTTTGGAACATTTTTGCAATGTTAATTAAAAAACAATCATACACTGCCGACACTTTACTGTTAATTGTTAGAATTGAACATCTTTTGTTTTATCATGGCACACTTGGTATAATTTGTTTAGGGGGGTGCTATTCGACATTTTTTAAAAATATGACATTTAGCGGTCAATCAAAAATTTTATTTTTTCGATCAAGTACCTAACAAAATTATGTGATTGTGGAAGAGATCTTAACCTGCGCCTCAGTTCAAACATTAGCCGTCTGCGCGATTTAATATCTCTCCAAAAAAAATTTGAAAAACTGTCAAATTTGGAAGAAAAAAGGTTATAACAGCGAAACCGTTAAAGTTAGAGGTATAACATGTTACATAAAAAAATAAGTACTTTTCAAGTACTATCCAAATCAGTAATAAAATGTGGGGTGTTCCATTAAAAAAAATGCAAGTTTGCTACGCCACTGGAATACAGCACGCCCCTGGTGATCAAAAATATTTTAGAAACATGCCGGCGGTAATTGTGTACAATTTTGCATTAAAAGAATGTTTACACTATTACGACTTGAGTGAGTTCTCACCTCCCACCATTACAAATGAATAGCTACTATACTAGTCCGGGCGAGAATTTTGAGATCTTAACTTCTAACGGCAAATCTTGAGACATTTTGATGACAAGTGCTTTTAGGGTAATTGGACCCTGCTGAATCCAATTTTGCCTGTCACCACCTCGAATTCCGGCTGCTAAGGCCTCAAATCAAGATGGCGCCCAATTATATGTTATATTTATATATTGTTGTGAGACCTAACCTACACTTCTGGGAATCCCACGCTTTACCTCTAGCTAGCTCAGTTGTAATTAAAATGAAAACAAAATTTTTATCCGCATCTCAAGGTCCAGCTGGATTCTGCCACCCTACAGCATTCCAACAATGACATAAATAGGTGGCTTAACCAAATCCTTAAATTCCAATATGAAACTTTACCCCCAGATTTAATCAACTTGAAACAAAGTAAGAGACGCCGACAATTACCTCTCTTTGACTCTAATAAACAAAACCTGGATTGCAATGACTGGTTTAATTTCAGACAAAAAATTGCGTAAATTTCTGTTTTACAAATTGTTACAATTTTAAACAGATAAATGACACACACAAAAAAAGAAAAAAAACAAATTACTCAAACATTACAAAAAAAAACAAGACAAAACAAACCACTAATTACTACTTACTTTTAAAATTAGTCCGAGTAACGTACTCCGATAAAAAGAGGTATCCGTACACAATCACGCAAACCAAACACTCAAACACCGACGTCTTCTCTCTTCGGGTACCCACAAATTCAAAACTTCCGTGTTTCCGCAAAATAACAAAAAAAAAACAGGACGGCGACAAACTTCTTAAACTTCTCAATAATTCTTCTTAAAACGGCAGACACAAAATTCTAATTAAACCTGGATCCACTACGCAAGAAACTTCCACAAAATTCAAAAAATAACGTAACCGAAGAAGCGCCGGTTGGCTTTGTAACGACCAAAAAGCCCCGCTCTCTTCAAAAATTTTCTATTTAAGCCAAAAGCCCTTCTCCTTTCTTCAACATCCCGCCCGCCAATCACGCGAAGCGTCGATTTTTCAACTTCTTGCTAAACGGCACGTACGCCCGGCAATTCTGCGAAGACAACCTTATCTCTACTTCGCGCTATACCTCGTTAACGGCAAATAAAATTTAAAAAGAAATTTACATCGAAAAAAAATTCTAGGAATAAAATAAAAACAGAACACTTCTAAGAAATTGAACCAAAACTATAACATGAAATTTACGCAATTTTTTTGTCTCAAATTATTAATAACCCCCCCGGTTAATTAATTGAACTAAACAAAATTGTCACATCCAGACGCTCTATAATTTCTTTCAAGTTACAACTAAAACAAAATAACACAACAATATCTACTATTTTTTATTATTTATTGACGTGTAAATAATTGCTATTGCAATTCTACTTACTAATAAATTTATGATTATGAAATGGCAACTAAAACTCACTTTAAAATTTGTTGTTGTAGTAACCAAAGATATTATCATGATTTTTATCTAGTGCATACGTTTCATTATTTATTACTATCGTATAAAAAATAAAGATGGTGGTCAAAATGACGGTAGAAACTTGTGTTAACTAATTTCTTTAGTTGCAAAGAAAAATTTGCATTTTCTACATGGCGTTGATTCAAATAGGTTAAAATCAGTTTTTCTTCTCACCATTATTAATAATAACAATTTGCGAAAAAAATAAAACAAAATGATACACAAAATGCGGATATTTTTATGACTTTTGATGATATTTTAAAGCATCGAAATCTTTTTGAGTGGGTTATAGGGAGGTATTAATAATTATCTTATAAGATCCTTATAAAATATTGTTTATACAGCGTTTGAAACGCACGCGTAATTTAGGACCTTCCATCACGGCTACGACGCAACGCACGCAAAATTACCGATACCGATGTAGCCAGCAGATTCGCGAATCTGCTGGCTACATGCTAGGTTCAATTATTATATACCAAGTTCGAAATATTTTGACTGTGGGTGTGCCGTGCCAAAAGCATGCCAAAGTTTGGTACATTGTGGTTGCAAGAAAGGGTGCAAAACTAACATATGCAAGTGCCGGAGAACTGTTAATTCGAAAGGCAAACGCATGCTATGCACCAGAAGTTGCCAATGTAAAAGCGTTTGCAAAAACAACGAAAGCCTAGAAACTCAGCTTGTGCAATCTTCGGATTCAAGTGACGAATCCGAATAAAGCCTAATGTTTTGCTCATTTCTATTTTTTAAGTTTTGTTTTCGATTTATATTTTTATACAGAGTTTGTACAAAGACTCAAACTAAGCGCCATCCTGTCCGGCATTTTTGAAAAAGTGTAAGTAAAGTTTTTGTACCTCTTTTTCACTTAAGCAAGCACTTTGTAAACAAATTATAATTCTTTTGCTCACTTAAATGGTTGAATAAATCAAGAATACTACAAAACGCGGCGGCATTTGGAGCTCTCTTTCAGCCGCCATCTTAAATTTTTTTGGCTTCATTTCTCATAAACTAGTACTAAGTGGCAAAATGTATGTGCTACATAAAAATCATCATAATATTTTTGTTTTTAACAAGAAAAAAATGTTAAAGTGAGTTTTAGTCGCCATTTTGACCGCCATCTTGATTTGAGGCCTTAGCAGCCAAAATTCGAGGTGGTGACAGGCAAAATCGGATTCAGCAGGGTCCAATTACCCTAAAAACATTTGTCACCAAAATGTCTCAAGATTTGCCGTTAGAACCTTTATAATGCGTTTTACCGAATTTCTCGCTCGGACTATACGGTCAAAAAAGAGTTACTGTCGAGTCACCTTTGGAAATTTTGTTTACATGGGAAATCTTAACTTGAACTTTCAAAGGCGACTCGACATCAAATCTTTTTTGATGGCCTGTTACATTCGATAAATATGCCAGTGGCACCACACAATAGGTAGGTAATTTAACCACCAAAAATTGCGCTCTTCAAAAAATGGTAAGTGTAAGGAAAAAACGTTCCACATGAAAGTTTATTATTTTCCTATGTAAAATAAGCGAGAAAATAAGTATTCAATAAAAAGTTATTATATTTGGAAAAGTCAAGTTTCTCAGTTTCCTCTGTTTTTTTAAATTTTGACATTCCGCATGTATGAAATATTTTTGCCAAAACATTGAATTTATTTGAAAAATGAGGTAGGTACATATTGTTCTACCGCAAACCATGATTTGTTTTTTGTTGATACAATTTCGATTAATTGTTTGATCATTAAAATAGAATGTCAAGTTGAAAAAAATTAGAATTTTTGACGCCTACGTCTTTTTGTCTTTAACCAAGATTCTGATGCCGCAAAACTGCTCACGATATCTGTGCGTAATTATATCATTTTTTAATATTCGCGCTAGTTTCCGCAATGATCGACTGTTTCAAGATTAATATAATAATAACTGAAACAAATATAGCAAACGAGCTCTTGGGTATGGCTATAGCATGTGCAAAGCCAAATTTTAAACCTGATGTTAGTTTTGCTTTTATTTAAAGTGTATATGTATGAAATTTCAACTAAATGCTTCCATAAATAAGAAAGTTGGCACAGCATATCCTACACTAAACAAAATTTGGAAAATGGCGCTACATTTGCTTTTATTTCAAGTGGATATGTATCAAATTTCATTTAAATCCCTCTATAAATAAGAAAGTTGGCTTCATAAATAAAAAAGTTTGCAATTCGGTTTATAAATGGTCGAGATGCGAAAAGGGCACTGTGAATTCTGATCGATTAGGCTCAATTTTTGGAATTGCGTTTTATATGACTAAGGTATGTGGAGTTTGATGCAATTCGGTTTATAACTAACGTATATGTCAAAAGGGCCTTCTTTATTTTTTGGCCTACATTGCCAATTCACGAACTCCGATCTACAAATTTGATAAAGAATCCACCTGCAACATTTCATCGTAATCGGTCCATTTGTTTACGAGATATCGTGCTGACAGATGGTACCACATTGCAAAAGTATAAACTCGCTAGGAGCTCGTTAATAATATTTATACCGGGTGTCTTAAATTGAGTAAGATAACATTGCTATCTTTGTTACTTTTATAATTACAGATTCGGTTAAATTGGCAAAGTTGTGTAGTTTTTGATGCTGATGGATATTTCGATGCGATATTTTGAAAAAAATAATTCGTTTCATAGATAATTAATTGGAAAAAAGAAAATCGCCATTTTTATAAAGTTCAAATATTTTAGTAACAAAGAGAGCTTGTTTCAAATAAAAGTTGCAAGATTCGATAAATTCAATGAACGTAGAAAAAAATTCAACTTCCTTATGTTAAATGGACGCCATATTGGATTTTTAAGCCACTCGATAGAGAAAAAAATTACAGAACCAGTGGTACTAAACACTTAGTATTTCATTTGGGAATCAATCTTACATTGTTGCCTCAAAGTTTACAATGTATTTCTTATGGCAATAATTCCATGGCGGTGTCGATGGTGACTATGCGAGACAATAAACAAACGAATGTGGTTTCCATCATAATCAGCCATGGAATTATTTCCATAAGAAATACTTTGTAAACTTTGAGGCAACAATGTAAGGTTGATTCCCAAATGAAATACTAGGTGTTTTAGTATCACTGGTTTTGTAATTTTTCAACGATTTCGTCTTAGAATCTAATTTTTAACGCACCCAAATAGTACGTTTCTATTCGCAAACGCAAGTACGAATCCTTCGCTCTCCCACCTCTCTCGTCCGGTAGAAAAACCGAAAGGGGACTTATGTCTTACCGCAAATGACCTCGACGAACGTACCATATCAACCAATAGTAAACATGCATTTTTGTCACGTGTTTGCCTGTAAACAAAACGGAAGAACACTTTTAGGTCTCAATAGTTCATGGCCACCGCGCTCGTTTTCCACAATACGTTTCTTGTTTACGTTCGCTCGAGCGTTCGCGGTAGATGTGTAAATTTTCCTATACTGAACAAAATACAAATAATTTTTAATTCTAATTAGCGACCACCCGTTACAACAAGAATCAAACTGTTAATTTTTAAAAAATTCTTTTTATTTCAGATGATCAGTTTCCAAATTTAATGGAAAGACTAGCTCCCATCTGTAAAGACTTAGCAGAGACTGGAACTCCGAAACAGGCGAAAGGTGCAATTAGGTGTATATACATTAACATGCCAGAACTTCATGATGCACTATTTCCTGCAATTTTAGAGACTATAAAATCAAATTTATGCCCTGAATCGCCTCACTACAGAACTGCTATAGTCACACTTGGTCATATTGCTTTCAATGTACCAGATCGATGTAAAGTTCAAATAAAAAATATCGTGTCGCGTAAGGTGAGTGCAACGGTTTGCGTTATTGCAATTTGCTGTACTTGTTACTTGTTTGCAGATTGTCAAGGAACTACTGGTGAAGGAATCGCGGGACAACCAGATTAACCACGACGATAATGAGCCCTGGTGTTCGGAAGATGATCTACCTGAAGAAACGAGATGTAAAGTGGAGGGATTAAAAGCTATGGCTCGGTGGCTGCTTGGACTGAAACAAGATACAGCGTCTGCTCAAAAAACATTTAGGATGTTAAACGCATTCATTCTCCATAAAGGCGATTTACTTCAGTACGGCCGTCTGTTAAGAGCAGAGATGTCGTGGCTTAGATTAGCGGCGGGATGTGCGATGCTTAAAGTGTGTGAACAAAAAGGTGTCGGTGACCAATATACTGCCGAACAGTTTTACAATCTTTCTCAACTTATGGTTGACGAGGTTAAACAAGTGAGGGAACTATTTGCAGCAAAACTTCACAAAGGGTTGGGAAGAGGTTTACCAAATAAATGTTTGCCGTTAGACTTCATGGGATATTACGCATTAGCGGGTCGCGAAACAGAGTCGAAGATCAGAAATGTAATACGTAATTATATGTTGACGGACATTAATCGAAGACGAGACTATGTCAAAACACTCACTATGAATACTGGACAAGTTGATAAGGCGTTCAATCAACTACCTCACATATTGCCTGATTACATGCTTGTATTCGCAATACCGATATTGGCTCACGATCCAGCTTTAAGTCGGTGGGATGATGTGCACGATCTTACTCGTGCCAGACAGTGTTTGTGGTTTATTCTCGAACCTTTAGTTACCAAAACAGAATATTTTAGTTACGGTTTTTATAAAAGTTTAATAGAAAGAATGAAGAATCACAAGGATGCAATCAACCCTGATGATGACGCCATGAACTATGTAAGTACATACTTTCCAATCTTCACCGTTTTTAATAAAAAGAACATTGTGTGTTTAACTATTCAGTATGTAACTGAAAATATTTCAGCTGTTCTTTTCTTTTATGTTACATGTATTGTGCAAATCGCAGTCTTTGTCAGGGACTGTGTAACATAACATTTTCAAAAATCTTATGGTAGATCAGTTGCCTATAAACCAGGTACCAACTTACCCATTTTCTAAATTATGTCCTATCAATCAAGGACGTCTTCTTCTTCTTAACACAGGAATTTTTGCTAAATAAAGGAAAGGTGGTGGACAATTTTAGGCGGAGAGACAGATCAGAACGTTGATTCCATGAGACTACTACCCAAATTTGTAAAATATAATTAAATATTTTCTGAATTATCCGGATTTGTTGGGTAGTAGCAAAATAGAAGCAGTATTTTGTTCTGGGGCTTAACAGTTAGTAGCATTTTGCTTCTTACCCATATTTTGGGATTTACGGAATTTTAGGCCACATGTGTCACCACTGTGGCCAATATTAGATTAGAATTTATTTCCATATAAAAAAACCACCGTACCAAGTTGTAACAGCCATACCATCTAGCTGTTTTAATTTTTTCCTTTAACTACGAGCATTCGTTGTCGACTAGACCACTCACACTCCTTCCACAGTTCCACCAAGGAATCAGGAGCATTTCTTGCTACTGCGTATTTATTCAACTACGCCAGCAGACAGCAAAAGACCTCGGACTCCAACCTACGAAACTACCCCTCCCCTACGAAGGCAAAGGTCAGATCTATTACACTTATTATGTACATTACCATCTAAAGAAGACACGAAGTAGAATTATTATCATATCACCTCATTCGTAATAATCTTGTGTTTCAATTTTCACCACCAATTTGTCAGGGTTGAATTCGTTGGGTAAAGGTAAACGTTAGGTTATGTATTTATGTGTACCGGGTTATACAGGGTGCGGATAAATAGCCGGCTGTTTCCCAGGACCCGTGAGGAGCGCTCTTAATTATTCTTTGCATGTTATATGAACCACTGTAGGTGAAGTGGTAAAGGCGAATTAACCTCTCTTTTTGCTCGTATAGTAACAGATTTTCCTATTTTGTAGACTGCATATCTCATACCTCGATCAATGTAATTACATTTTGTACAACAAATTATACACGCATTAATTTTCCTTTGATTAAACGACCTTGCCGCCATTTTGTTTAACTTATTATATAGGGTCATAGCAATTTTGGAACAGCTTACTCTGCCTGATCAGCAGAGTCAAGTGCTTGGTGGATCTGGCGCCCTGAGCAAATAAGCAAGCGTTAATCAGCAATATAAGTACCCTTAGGCAGCTTACACTTTTTGTGTACAGGTATACCCGCGACCTGCTGACGCTAGCTGGTGTATGGTCATCTCCTTCTAAGCATGACTGATTTTAGGTAGTAGACGCTACAACTGTGAGGACTGCGCCGCAATCCTAACGACTGCCAAACTGGTTCACAATTGCGAAAATTAGGTTACATGGCAGTCTTGCGTGTTTTCCAATAGTTGTTAAGTTACCACAAGTTTTCTGGAATGAAAGGTCCACAAACATTTTGTTTTCGCCATTATTGTAATAAAATTACTTAATTAAAAATCATGATTTCGGTTTCTTTTTTGTTAAACCAATTTTTAATTAATCAAAAAATTATGCTACAGCATGGTGACGAATTCGTCATGGACTCACGGATATATATCAGTTCCATTATTAAGGTACATAATCATGGCGATAACAGGAACATTCCAAAGATGCAGTGGTAAAAACTTTACAAAAAAGTACCAATAAATTTTTAATAGATCAAGTCTAAAAAAAATAAATTTTTTGAAATATGATTGGTGTTCGTTTGACATTACTGAAATTTCATATAATTTAATAGTTTTTTTATGAAAGCTCTAAAAAGTCTTGAAGTTTTAATTCCAGAACTTAGATTCTACTATTTTTTTTGCCAGACAGTATGTCGCCATTCATTTATTTAAATTAAATTAAAAATCGCCCTTTTTGAATACCCTCTTCTGACAATCCGTTCTTAAGGTATAAGGTATCATAAGAGGTCGAGGAGGAGGGCTATGGTTGGTAGAAATTAATTCCATTCGTTGAGACCTTTCATTAGAGTACCATGAACGATAAAACTAGTTCCAACCCCCCTCCCCCCTTCTTCACCCCGTACTTTGATAAGAAGACAGAAAGAAGGGCAGTAGTTGGTAGAAAACGGTTCCTTTCGTTGAGACCTTTAAAATAAAATGAGAGATAAAATTAATTTTTAACCCCCCCC